GGGGGGGGGGGGATTATTTGGTTTGAGGACCACTCCGAACGTATTTACGTTAGGTTCTTTCCAGGCTATCCCGTGAACAGTCTGCAGACAGGTAAATAATTCCTCAAATTTCAGGGCTGGGGCGCACCAAGGAAACTGGAAACCTAAATTTCCGAGAACTGTTATCACCTTGAGTTGAACCAATGTTACAAATGGAGAAGGGCAAAATGAAGAAACGGCAACGCAACTCGCGAAGAGACTGAGAAAATCAACTTCTAGTTAACGGAGCGTGCCAGTCTTCTCACACTTGCATTGCCGCGAAGTTTCCTAGTGTCACGTGTTCAATAACGCGCTTCAGTGATTCATTTGTTTCCTAAGATGGCACGGAAGATTGACGAAACTGTTAATTTTGATTTTGTGCAGTTAACTGAGCAAGAGACTAGTGTATATATATACAGTAGAACTTGGTTATAACGTCATCAAAGGGACCTAAAAATAGTGTCGTTATAAACGAATGTCGTTGTAACCGAAATGGGCACTTCCACAGTAGCCTTATGTTAGTCACGTAAAAATCTACCAAAAACCGAGTTAAAATGTTGCATTTTTTAGTGAAATACGTAGTTAAGTACAGACTAACGTAACATTAACGTGGAATTGCCCAAATGTGTAATATCAAAGACATATTACAGCGCTTTTCACTGACAATACACACCGCACTAATACTGTATATTAAAGGTAGGCCTACTCACCAAATTACAGTAGATTACATCAATTGTTGTGCCTTACTGTACCTAGATACGAGTACAGTAATCAGTTATCTTCATCTGTTTCCTGTTACTTGCCCAATACACACTTTCTAAATTACGTTCAATGTCCATATCAGAGAAATTCAGGAATGAAAATGACGTTACATACGAGGTTGATGCATTTGTGCATGTCGTACTAAGCAAGGTATAAAAACAGTTGCTTTATGAGGAATTAGTTCGTACCATTGAATATTTGATGCAATAGACAAGGTGTCGCAGAAACCGATGTTGCTATAACAAAGTTTTACTGTATATATATATATATGGCAGATTATACTAGGCAGGGAAAAATAGATTTGGCTGTGGAAAGTATTTCTCATGAAACGAAGGAGTCGGATCCTGGTTAAGTTCTTTCGAAACAATATAAGCACTTCAGTTTAAGTTGTCACAGAAGAACGGATGCACACAATGTTTTCTTTTCCTAATATTGTATGTAACCATCCTGTTGCATTAATATTTCATTTATTTCTCATATAATTCTGTCTTAATTACAACTTATACAGTCACGTATATAGTCTTGTTAAAACTGTGGCACAAATTAATTAACATCCCAATATTTTCCTTACGGTCGTCGTCCTCTCTTCTCACGCCGTCTCAACCGGTCTCAACTACCGCCAAATTATGGCAGGATCAGTATTATTATCTTCCACTGCAGAAGGTAAGTGCACGAAATTAAAAAATACAACCATGCATTACGTCGGACGAAGATACACACTTTTAAGATGATGTGAGTAACTACTCGAACATAAGTTTCCTCAGTGTGCGCCTGCTAGTCCGGAAACCAGTTGCCTGCTTGAAATTTGCGACATTTCTAGGAATTTGCGGTTGCCAGTTTCCTTTTTTATGTGCCCTCGGCCTAAGACGCAACTCAAATTTTCAACAGCAAAAAATGTGAAGTGTGTGTATCTTGAATTCGAAGTAATACGGTGATTAAGTACACGGACAAATTTACCTTATAACAATGAAAACATTAAGGAATAAAATTTCTATCTTAAGACGCGGGAACATGTGAAGAAGGGAAATTTATTTGTGGCTTTGCTCTAACCCCACGTACACATTTGTAAACATGAAAATATCGTACGTACTAGTTTCATAAACACGCTCAACCTATGCTGAACGTTCGGTGCGGCGAGGCATAAAGATACCAGTCCAGCGCAGCCCAGCCCAGTCGTGAGGCACACTGACTGCACCTTTCTGTTCCTTCGAGGTTTACATAAGGTAAATAATTTACGTAATTAATTAAAACCTGATTAATACGTGAATACGACATGATTCACTAAGTATATTTACACTGATAATTAAATGCCTACCAGTTAACACGAAATAACTTTCTAGCGCTATATAACACCTTTACAGTGGCATCAACTATCTTCGCCCGTTCGAAAGTTTCGCTTGTGGGTTCGAATCCCACTTGAGGTATGGATGTCTGTGTGCGTTTATTCTGTGTTTGTGTTGTCCTGTGAGTAGGTAGCGAACTTGCGACAGTCTGATCCCCTGTTCAGGGAGCCCTACCGACTGTGTATAGGATTAAGAAACTGAAAAGTGGTCAAGGCTCTACAAAGGACTGTAGTGTTAGAGATGGATAGATAGACAACTTACAAAAATGAGATGCAAATCCTTCTTCAGAGAGGTCACTGAAAAGCATCTCTGTTCTGAAAATGATACATCCTCGTTATGGTACTTTATACCTTTATACTAACGTTAGGATATGCTTTTACTAAGTGTTGAAATTTGTATAAAGATGAAGTTTCTGTAGCAGGAAAGATATTCCAACATGGTGACAACGTATTAACTTATGTTTGGAGGTATTTAGAGCATACATTAGACATGAAGGGAAATGTATTTAAGGAACAGACAAGGTTATATAAGGAAACGAAAAAGAAAATTTTACTTGTGTCTTCTATAAAAGCAAGAAAAGCTATATAAGATTTCAGACAATCACTGTACAAAAATATACTGTTTATACTGAAGTATTATGCCCAGCAGAGTTACAAGATTTGATATAACTAATATTAATTACATCATACGAACAAGTTCCAAAATTTATAATAACTTTATAGTATATTGATCATTTGGATCTCTTTCGGAATTTGGGATTTACATGAAGTTATTGTTTATCCAGATATTTGCTGTCAAACGTAACTCAATTCACAGATAAAATTATTGGAGATCAGTAATGTAGATTTTAACGTAATAAATCATATACTAACCAGATGTGCGTCATAATCACATGGCTGCAGAAAGAATGAGAGTACAACGCAGCAGTACGTACAGCAGCAATTTGCATATGGCGGCAGAAACTATGATTCGTTTACTATAGAAACGTCATAATTTATTACTATAATTTAAAGAATGCCGTCTTCTGGGATGTGGGGAACGTGTAGATATTGTGTTAACCGACGTTTCGGAGGTACGTATCGCCCCTATCCTCAGGGTATAAGAAATCGGAGAGCGATTAACCAGCGTGAGCAGGTGGTTGTAGTCTGCAGTCTGGGAGCTTTTTCCATGGGGGTAAATCGGCCGGGATGTGAAGCTGACAACTCACCTCCAACTAGTGCCGAGGTCATGAATATGTGGCTTTATATATAAACTCCCCCATACGTCTTCATAGCGTAGTGCTTAGTCAGTTGGGCACAGGGGAAATTTTGCCTTTACTCAAATCTCATATTTTCTTGTCATATTTCCTACTTACAACGGTCTGAAACAAGACCCTTTGCAGCTTTGCATTAGAATATGTCAAGAGTAAAGTCCGAGCGGTCTAAGGCATGCACTGTCTTCGCTCGCTTGGAAACCGGGATCGTGGGTTCGAATCCCACTCAGGGCATGGATGTTTAGTTTGTGCATGTGCGTTTTTCTGTGTTTGTGTACAGGTAGATGCCTTGCGACGAGCTGATCACCCGCCCAAGGAGTCCTACCGAATGTGTAAGATCTAGAAAAACCGAAGTGAATGGAGAAGTTCATGGAGGTACGCCTAGGCCCACTGGGGCTGTAGTGCCAAGGGGGAAAAAAAAAGTCATAAACAGAACAAAGTAAAAACAGAATTGAATGGGGCACATCAGCGTGTGGTCTATCCCTTTGACGTAGTTGAGTTCATTCAACATAATTGTATGAAACTGTACACTATTTAACAACTGACTATTGTGGTGTACAGTCTCCTTCATGTCTATAATCCATTTTCAATTTGTCTTTAATTTCTACAGTTTATTATTTTATTTAACTTTATTTTCTCATTTGCGCTTAACTCCGTCTAAATATTTCCCCATATACGAGTATTTTTATCTGTGTCCTGTTTGTACAACTTATTATCTAATATATAATAATTCCTCACTTAAGTGATGCCACTATTTAGTTAAAAAATTTGTTCTCCACATTTCTATCTCGGGGCCCCCTCAACAATATAATATCTCATATTCCTCTGATGTAAATTTGTTTCACAAAATCACAAATGTTCTAAGCAAAAATGTAGACCCTTGCTCATGTCTCGTTACCAAAATGTAGGACGAACTCATAATATTTTGAAGAAACTGTCACGTTTTGTGAGTGTGCGTCGCTATAAAGGGGCTTTTGGATTAATGGATTTATTGACCACTTATAGGTCGTACTACAACTATAACGCTATCGTTATTTCCACATTTTACAGGTCACTGACCCACACAGACTAGTGTCTTCAGTCTATTACTGTCTCCACCATCCGTTTCCTGGCAACGGATTCTAACACAGGAATTATAACGGTCTCACTAAATTACAGACTCCAAATCTCAGCCAGACAGCGGCTATCCTGCCTGAGGTTACTTCTAGTTCCCTTCAATCCTCCAGGCAAATTCCGGTATAGTACCCCGATTAGGCTTCGACCACTTCCTTCCAAGTCCTTTTCGATTCGTCACTCACTCCATCATCCAGCGTCATACTATGTCTCCATACTGACAGTGTCGTTAAATAAACAACTATAGAATCCGTTGTCTTTATCATGGATTGTATTTTGCACATCGATGTTTAACTTGACGGGCACGCGGTAGCGTCGTTGGTTGAGGCATTATGCTACAAGCCGGAAGGGCGCGGGTTCGATTCCCGATGAGGTCACTGCATTATTCAATCTACCTAATCCTTCCAGCAGCACTATGGCCCTCGGGCCGACTCAGCTTCTATCAAAAATGAGTACCAGGAATATGTCTTGGGGCAAAGGAAGGCCGGGAGGCGCATGAGGCTGACCTTACCGCCATCTGTGAGCCGATTGTCCAGAGAATATGGAAGCCTCGACGTCTCACAACACTATGTGCCTCCACGGCCTGTTACAGGGATAGTTTTACTTTTCTTACGTGTTTAAAACCTGTCACTGAATTCCCGTTAAAATTGAAGTCAGTAATAATGGAGATATTTCTAACTTACAAGCGAAAATTACTATTGCACTGTACTGAAAAATGTTACAATATCGTCACTTTATTGCGCGTAATAATCTCTGCTAAGCTAAGCTAAGCTGCGCTTACGTTATATGAATTGTGTTTCAGCAGCAGACTTGGTTTACACTTAAGGTGTAAGTAGGCTGTCAATGGCCGTAGCTCTGGTAACTCTTGAAAATACACAACTCATTGTAAAACTGCAGCATTATAGATATTTTTACACTTGGGACTTGACTTCTCCTATTGATATATATACACTGAAGTACCAAAAGTCATGGGATAGGTACCTAGTATCGTGTAGGACCCCCTCTAGCCCGGCGAAGTGCAGCAACTCGACGTGGCATCGATTCCACAAGTGGACGGAAGACCTCTGGAGAGATGTTGAGCCATGCCGTCTGGATAGCCGCCCACAGCTCCCTGCTATTTGTAGGTGCAGGATTTTGGGTGCGAATGGACCTCTCCACCACGTCCAATAAATGCTCGATTCGGCTCATGTCGGGCGAACGTGGAGGCCACACCATTCGTCGGAACTCTCCAGAATGCTCCTTGAACCAATTCTGGACAACTCCGACACGGTGCATTGTCCTGCTGGAATATCCCATCGCTGTTGGGGTAGATGAAGTCCATGAAGGGTTGCAAATGGTCACCAAGCAGTGTAACGTAGCGGTCACCGGTCAATGACACACCCCACACCAGTAGGGAATCACCACCAGCCTGCACGGTGCCTTGTTGATAACTGGGGTCCATGGCCTCATGGGATCTGCGCCACACTCGAACCCTACCATCCGCCCGAAACAACTGGTACCGTGACTCATCGGACCACGCCACATTTTGCCAATCCTCCAGGGTCCAATTAGCGACGTCACAAGCCCAGGTGAGGCGCTGTGTCCGGTGTCGTGGTGTTAACAGAGGCACTCTGGTCGGTCTTCTGCTCCCATATCCCATGGAAGCTAAGGAACGCTGCACTGACCTGCTGCATATGCGTCTGGTACCTCCTGCATTGAATGTGGATGTGATTTCAGCCAGTGTTGCTTGTCTGTTACCACGGACAATTCTAGCTAGACGCCGCTGGTCACGATCATTAAGCTCCCGTGGTCGGCCACTGCGTTGTCCACGGTGGGTGGAAATGCCTTGCACAAGGTATACCCGGTACACACGTGACACCGTGGATCGAGGAATGTTGAATGACCGCACAACTTCGGAAATGGAATGTCCCATCGCCTGGCACCCATTGTCGTGCCCCGTACAAACTCCGATAATTCACGTCGACTTGCCATGAGCAGACTGGCCGGTATTTAACCTGACTCACGATACTGCTCTGGACATTTCCCAAGCCGTCAAGGGACGGTGGCGCCACTTAAAAATAAATTTACATACTGCTATAAGTTATCCCTGAGCTTAATTAAGGATCAAGCCACGAAAATATATGGAGGAGTGGAGGTATAGTTCCGCAGTTCTTACCCTCGGCAGTAGATGGCGGTAAGTCGTCATTTTGACGCCCCGGTCGCTTTACCCCAGGGAAAGTCGCCGGTACCCATTGGATGTGAGACCGGGAGGGTTCCAGAGCCGGTGCGGACCCTACCGGGAACTGAACCGTCCATCTGATGTTATTTAAGGATGTATATGAGTTACGGTCTTAGATAAAAGTAGCTTAAATTTCAATTTAACGAATATCTGCACTTTGTGTGAATTAAATACGTAAGTTATAGGGTCATAAATGTTAATGTGGGAGTGTTTTTTTTTCTTTTTATCATTCTTTTGCCACAGATATCTTTGTTGAGGGGCTATGCTACAAGCCGGAAGGTCGCAGGTTCAAGTCCCGATGAGGTCATTGGATTTCTTTCAGTTGATCTAATACTTCCAGCCGCACAAGACCCTGGGGCTTACTCAGCCTCTAACAGAAATGAGTACCAGGAATTAATTAAATAATTTTCCTGGGGAGTAAAGCGCGGCCGGCGCGTAAGGCTGACAACCTTACCGCCATTTTTGAGCCGATTGTCTAGATAGTGTGGGACACTCAGCGTCTCACAACCCTATGCGCCTTCACGACCTGTTACAGGGATAGCTTTACTTTTTTTTTGACAGTTATTATTTGTGTAACTCATGATAATAAAACGTTTGAGAGTGAATACTCTCTCAATCGAACCAGACAAAGGAACTCTTGGATTTAAATTAAAGTATTCTTATACAAAGTAGTAAATCGAGTTTTAATTAAATAAAATGGTTATTATATTTGTGAAAACTGTGTAATTAATTCATTTCGATTATTAAAATACCCCGAGAAGAATTAAACTTGACAACACTGTAGTTTTCCATAAGTTGGCTGCCTTGCACAGTTCAGTGGTACCACATGAGCGGACCAACGCCACAGCTGAAACTTTAGTTGCGTTGTACAGCTGCTGGTTAATGGTAGCTACATTTCTCTTTGCTACATTGTGTTTTTCTTGCATCACAATACCAGTAGCAACTTATTGTTGGAAAGGAAGAATAGTGACTATAAGTACATGAGAAAAGACTCGCTCAGCAGAAAACTCGCTGTAGTTTCTTCTTCGCTATTCTGTAACCGTTTCCAACGTTGCTGAACTTCTACATCGATTAGCATGCAAATCGAGTAAAAATTTCAATACATTATTATTAATTTCTCCGTAACGGCATAGTAAAAGAAAATGTAATTTTGCAACATTATTCCTAAAGGCGGAAATTGTAAGCATAAACAATTTTTAAAGCCAGGATAACCATTTCACACGTTTTTCATCTACTATAATGTACGACATGACGAACTTCCATAAGATCACGTGTAAATTTAGTAAAAATTAAAAGTGCAGTAACTTCAGGACAGGGTAGTGAATTAACTCCAAACTTCTTCAGGGATTTCAGAATTAAAGAAAGAACGAGCTGTACAATTTGTATCCATTTTGCACCATTTTAAATGTGAGGCATGTCGTATCGTAGTTGGTTGAGGCACTGTGCTAAAAGCCGGAAGTTCGTGGGTTCGATTTCCAACGAGGTCATTGGATTCTTCAATTGACCTATTCCTTCCAGCTGCACTATGGCCCTAGAGTTGACTCAGCCTCCAACAGAAATAAGTACCACGAATCTTCCTGGGGGTAAAGGGCGGCCTGCTGGCGCGTAAGGCTGACAACCTCACCGCCATCTGTTAGCCGATTGTCTAGAAGATGTAGGAGCCTTGACGTCTCACAATCCTGTAGGCCTCCACGGCTTGTTGGAGGCATATCTTTACCTTACTTACTTATGGAGCTGAGCCCTTCTTGAGGAGAAGTCAAATCTGCAGCTACTCAAGAATTTCCCTGCATTTTATGGAACCCGAAGGTTTATTACCGTGTTCACATGAACCCTCCACTGGTCCCTATCCTGAACCAGATCAATCCAATCCATACCATCCCATCCTATCTCTCTTAAGATCCATTTTAATATTGTCCAGCCACCTACGCCTTGGTTTTTCCAGTGGTGTCTTTCTTCAGGCTTTCCCACAAATATCCAATATACATTCTTCTTCTCCATACCCAGAGGGCAAAGGACGGGTGGATTCAGAAACCCTTGTAAATGTAGTGGAAGATTAAGTTCAGGAAGTCCTTGAGGTGCGGAGTTCATGCCCACTTCTGTAGCTGCGTTGTATTGTTGATAGTGTGCCATTTGGGGCATAGGATTATTGGGTACTTTCTGAGGAAATGTTTTTCCGTAGTACGTTTGCATTTGTGTTTACTGTTTGGTGCGGGAGTAATTCCTGAGGTCCAGTTTGGTATCTGGGGTAATTTCGTTCAGTTTTCGATAGATATGGTTCCTGGTTAGTTTCATGCTTCATTTTCTCCCCACTGGACTGATTATGATTTCCTGCTTGTTCTGGGAGATGATTTCCATGTCGTAACCATTCATGCTGCAGAAGTCCTTTGCCTGAGCCAACGTTACTGTGATGTGTATGTGTGCTTCCTTTCTGCCGAGTTAGAATTCTATATTGAACATTTGTTTGACGCTGATCAGTCTTAGCCCTTATTTATTTTGATGATTATAGATGTCCACGAAATTTATTTCTAATTAATTGTCGGTAATTTAAATTTCAAAAGTCTTATGTTTCGGTATTACTGGAAATGTATCGTGATCTATAATATCGTATTTCATCGTCTGGGACGTGCAATACGGTGTTTACGTTGAAAATTTCTAGATTCTGGCAGAAACAAGAAGTCCGGAGTTATGACATTTACGATCAGTCATAAATTTAGCTCGGGTACAGGGAACCGGACGCGCCTAAAAGGACAGGTCAGAGCTTGTTACAATTGCCTGTGAATGAGGGCCAGTATGATTGGGTTGCCTCGTTCAAGCTTCCTACGGAAGATGGGATGAAAATGTATATGTCAACACCATCTTTCGAATTCCCGGCGTGGGGGTGCAAGCCA